AGATATCTACTTGACTCTGAAGTGAATATCAACTTCATATTCTATTTCTTTTCTTTAATAAAGAGTTAAAAGAAGATAGATCTGTCAGATCATATAAAATTTACAGATAAAATGAAATATCATCATTTTAGCATAATTCAAGTAAAGTGTGTGATCACAGACTCAGAAGAAATCTTTAAGAAGAGCAGTCTGCTTCTTCACACAGTTAACATCATAGATAAGAACATCATTCTAGATCTTTCATAGTTGAGAGAAAACAATTCTCTCATTGACTGAGTCACTCAGATGTGATGATATCATCTCACTAATAAAGAGACAGTAATAGAGGAATCTGAAGAGTTCTATCAGAAGAATCTTGAGAAAAAGATGAAGTCAATATACTGCATAGTAGATAATTGAGACTTAAGAACAGATGAAGAAGTTATCACTCTCACTGCAAGATTAGCAGCAGTATCTATCATTGAAGACAGATATACACAATGTCTCTTTACAGATTTCAAGAATGTCTTTTTAGAAAGAGAAGCAGTGAAGTTTTCTGACATCAAGATATAATATAAGATTTGTCTTGAAGACAGTGTAACAGCATTATACAGGCCTCTTTACAATTTATCTATAAAGAAGTTGAATGTTCTGCACAAATATCTTGAAGAAGTGTAATCAAAGAACTGAATATATTCATCAAAGAGTCTGACAGAGATGTCTATACTCTTTATGTTTAAGAAGAATGATAGACTATATCTATACATAGACTACAGAGGCCTCAATAAGATGACAGTTAAGAATCACTATTTATTACTATTAATTAATGAGATGATTGATTGATTATCTGAAGCAAAGATGTTCTTAAAGATTGATATACAGAATGTCTATCATAGAATCAGAGTTAATGAAGATAATGTTTGAAAAACAGCTTTTCATACTAAGTATGATAATTTTGAATATCTTGTTTTATCTTTTGATCTTTGTAACACTTCAGTCATCTTCCAGGCCTATATAAATGAGACACTGTGAGGCCTTGTTAATGTCTCCTGCATAGTATACCTGAATGACATTTTAATCTTCTCAAAATCAGAGAAAGAACATGATACTCATGTTTAAGAAGTGTTGAGTTACTTGAGACAGTATCAACTCTATATAAACACTGAAAAATGCTCATTCTATATATAGAAGATTGATTTCTTAGGTTATATTGTTGAGATGAATGACATTTCAATGAACAGAAGCCAGGTCTTCATTATTAAGAACTGGCCAGTGCTGCAGATGTACCGCGAGATGCAGGTATTTCTAGAATTTACAAATTTCTACAGATGATTCATCTATGCATATTCACAGATTACTGTCTCTCTTACAGATCTGTTGAAGAGAAGTGTGAAAGACAGAAAAACAGAATCATTTATTCTCACTCAAGACACTGTGCAGGTGTTTGCAGAATTGAAACAAGCTTTCACAGATATCATGATACTGAATCATTTTAATCCTGACTTACTCAGTCAGTGTGAGACTGATGTATTCAGAAATAAAGTCTGTGAAATCTTTTCACAGTTGACACTGAAGGCCTTTCAATATTGAAAGAATCAGAAAATAATCATCTCTGAGAAAACAGACAATGAATTGTCTGTAAGAGAAGACTTTTTCACAGAGTCTATAAGATGCTGTGAATAAAGATCAGTGACCTTCTTCTTCAAGAAGTTATCACTCACACAGAGAAGGTATAATACTCATGATTAGAAGATGTTAATAATTATTGAATTCTTTAAGATCTGACAACATTATCTTCAGAGTAGTAAGTACTCAGTGCAAGTTCTCACTGATTATGCAAATCTGTGTTACTTCTTAATAACAAAGAGCTTGACAGAATGTCAAGCCAGGTGAGTGAAGCTGCTTTCAGAGTATGATTTCTATATTCAATACTATTCAGATCAGCTTAATCTCACTGACATGCTGTCTAGACAGTCTGATTATAATATTATTGATGTGAAGAAGAATTCTATAAAAGAATCTCTGTCATCACTGCAGAAGAAGCTGACTGCAGGGGATTGAAATTCTCTAAAGCTTGAGAACAGCACTGAAGAGACAGCTGTGTGACTCAGTATAGAAGATGAAAGAGAACTCAGGTCTCTGTGAGAGACTGACACTGAAGATCATGAGCTTCTCATGTCACATCTTGCAATCATTGAATTAATAAAGAATGAAACAGTCTATAATCTTTCAATCTGACTACTTTTGAAATTCATTAATAAGTTACAGAAGAGAGACATCTCTACTACAGCTTGAATTCAGAAGTTGAAGAAGAAAGAGTCTAGTTTAAACTTGAAAGAGACAGGCTCTGAGTGAGATAATACTGCTAAGAAATCAAGTCACTGATAACTAGAAGAATGTGAACTTCTACTGCTGAATGATTCAGTCTTTATCTCTCATAGCAGAGCAGTGTGTCAGAAGTTATTGAGAATTTATCATAATAATTCTCATGCAGAGCACTTCAGATTAGAGAAGACTAAGAAGCTTCTAAAACATAAATACACTTAGAACAAGCTCTGAGCAGATGTCAAAGAGTATATTAAAACTTATGATATCTATCAAAGAATAAAGATCTCATAGTATAAGTAATACAGTGAGTTGATATCACTGCCTGTTTCAAAGAGCTTATGACAGAATCTATTAATGAATTTCATAGTTGATCTGCTGAAGTCAACAAGAGTCAAAGAATATAACTTAATTTTGATTATTATTAATCACTTTATGAAGATAATCAGATATATCTCTACTTATAAAAAGATTAAAGCCTCTGAATTGACTGACCTGTTTTTAGATATTATTATTCATAATCACAGTACTCTGAAATCATTGATAATAGATTAAGAATCCCTCTTCATCAGCAAATACTGATCAGCTTTTTGCTATCATCTTATAATAAGATATCTTCTCAGTATTGCATTTCATCTGCAGATCAATGACCAGACTGAACATCAGAATCAGATACTAGAACAGCATCTTCAAGCATTCTATTTATATTATCAGAATGATTAGCTCAAACATCTTCTAATCACTGAATTTGTATATAATAATGTAAAGAATATAATCTTAAAGATATCTTCTTTCTATACTTATTATGAATATAATTCTTCATTACTCAGTGACATCGCGGACAACATTTCAAAGAGAGGAATAGATAGTCAGAATATCAGACAGGTACAGAGAACAGAGTATCTCTCAGTATCAGAAGTAAAAGTGAGATTGAAACTTTTGAATAAAATTCATGAGAAGACAGTGAAAAGCATTCATTACACTCAGAAGTGATAGACAGAATACTATAATTGAAAACATCTTTTAATGAAGTTCTTGATAGAGAATCAAGTACTACTTTCAGCAAAGAATATCAAGACAATGAGACTATATAAGAAGCTCAGTAAGTGATGGCTAGAACCTTTCTCAGTAACAAGAGTGATAAGTAAGCAGATATATAAGTTGAAATTACTCACAGAATTAAAATCAATTCATTTTATTTTTCATATTTTCTATTTGAAGCTCTATAAGTAACATCTCAGAGCAGAGTCATCTCAGCTGAATGATATCAAGATCAAGAGTAATACTGAATATCTTATATAGAAAATATTAAATAAGTAAACACATTACAGTAAGCTTCAATATCTTGTTAAATAAGAAGATTATTCATTATCAGAGAATTCATGAGAATCACTTAAGTATTTGAAAAATGCTGAGAAAGAGATTACAATCTATAAGATAACTAGTAGAAATCATCTTATTATATATCAGAGACATTGAGTAAGAAACACTGCTTAAGACTTCTCATTTTTTTTAAAGAATTTTTTAGAGATGATCTCACAGTGATGAGCTAATATCTTATAGACTTTATAGCACTCTTCTCTTATTTTCTCTTAAAGGATTTTTAGAAGTTTAATAAGACTACACAAGTGTAAAATTCCTGAAGTGATTAATAAGAAAAGAAAGAAATATTTGAAACTAATAAAAAGATTAATATTATTAATCTGCAGGCTGCTGCTATTCTAATGAGATCACAGCCTACTGAAAAAGTAAAAAGAGAAATCAGAGTCTACTCATTAATAATCATATTCTTATTAAACTCATTCTTCACTGTTGAAGTCTTCAGTATTAGTATCTTTATCTACTGAGAAGTTAGTACTGCAGTGCTGCAGAGAAGCATGCTATAAAAGAGTATAAGAGATACTGAAAGTGTCAACTTATTAACTTATAAAGCATCTCAGTTATCTGCTTCAACTGAAGCAAGATTCTCTTTAATCAGTGATTGATCTCTGTGATGCTTTTAACAGCAGTATCAGCTGATCTCTTCTTAAGATCAGTCATTCTGAGATATTTTTTCATCTCAGAGATTCACACTTTCATCTTCTTTTACAGATGAGTAAGAGAGATCTTCTCAGTCTTGATAGAATTTATCAACACTTGAAGCTCTGAGATTCTCACTCTGTACTACTTGAGTATCTAGGCTTCTTATCAGAACTGACACAACATCTTTCTATGAGATAATACTTATAGAGAGACAGAAGTTGTTGTTACAAGTATAACAGAAATAATGAGAGTGAAAGAAGAAGCAGATACATAAAATCCCTCTCTTCTTCAGCTGCTTAGCACAGTGTAGACAAGTAGCAGTGTCAGTCAGAGACTGTATCAGAGCCTTCTCACAGAGAGAAGATAAAGAAATTATGAGATTCTGTGAACTCAACTCAGCAGCATTCTGAGCAGGGCTCAGACATGCTGCAGAAGAAGAACTACAGATTGAGCTTCTCAGAGTCACTGTCTCTGAAATCAAGCTCTTCCCAGGTTTCTCTCTGAATGATCACACAGGGTCATACATCACTGTATTGACTGGGGGGGGAGGCAGCGTTGCAACAGTGGCAGGGGGGGCAGAAGACAGATCAGACACAGATGAATCAATCAGCAGAAGAGATGACACCTCACTGCAAGGAGATGACACCTCACTGCAAGGTATGATAACTATCACCATGGCTGCAAAAGAAGCAGGAGAAGAAGAAGATGTGACAATGAAAGCAGTGCTCCCGCAGCTCATTGACACTGCCATCTCTGTCTTCAACCTGGCTTTCTTGATGATCACAGAGGCTGCTGCTGCACCACAAAGATGTTTACTCACTAGAAAACATCAGAATAAGTTCTTGATTGTTCTTTAAGAATGATACTCTCATGCACTCACTGTTACAATTGAGAGAGAGAAAGAAAAATATTTCACAGAGAGAGAGAATCTTTTCAAAAAATCCTGCTACTACTATTAGCTTTGTCTCTAAAAACACATCACTTTTGTAGAGAATTTCATATATAGAATAAAATATATTAAGAGATCTGTAAGTCACTTATTAACTACATTTTTCACATTTCAAATTGATATATAAGAAACCCACTTATTATACATTTGATTTGAATGAAGATGAGAAAAGAAAGATCTACACAGTTAGCAGAAAAACTCATCTATTTCTTTATATCATATACAGTATATACACTGTCAATCAGTTAGCAACTGTTGCTATACAATAAAGATAATTTCTAATTCAGTAATCTTGAGAGCATAGAGACTATACTCTTAAAGAGAAGAGTATTATTATACTCTCAGCTGTGTCAAGACTCTGTTACAGTTTCACACAGCTTATCACTTTTATACAGATAATTTCATTCTGTTTGAACTGATTTTTAATCACTCTATAACATTATTCAGATATATCATAGAAAGATTCAATTGATAAATATAAGAACTCTGCTTCTATATGAGATCAGCAGATTACTTTTTCTTGACAGTGAGATGCTGCTGATGTAAGAATAAGTGCTCGCAGGCAATTATTCGGGTGTTTGCAGCTTGGCATGATATGTACTGTTAACTACTAGAAGTGTTTGCGGTAGGAAGATAAATGTAGAGATCAAATATATCATAGCATTCAAGCTGAGTTGTGAATAGTATTCATGAATTCCAGTCTATATAGTTGTGTGTAGCCAAGGGCCGCTAGCCCTATTGATTACATGAGAGATAGAAATAGGGATAAAGAATTCATGAGAAGTGAGATTTCTTACATACTTCTCTCTCTCTAAGACTTTGTCTGTGAAGCCTTTCACTGAGTGACTTTATAGTCAGCTCAGCACTGCAGTGATACTCACTAAAAACCCTTCACATCTATAAAAAACCTCAGTGAGAAAAAATCCCTTGTTACTGTGAAGAGAAAAGAGTCTGTCACTCAGTTTCTTATTTCACAAGATTCTTTATAGTCTACAGATTCTTCTCTGACTATCACACAGATTCATCTCATATCTTTCATACAGAAGAGTTTCAGTTGACTCTCAATCATTTTCATGAGATTCTTGTGTGACTATCACACAGATTCATCTCACAGATGAATCACTCTCTGTGAGATTATTCTTATCAAAGAGAAACATTTATAAGTTGATCTTTCATTCATTCTTACAAATTATTGCTCTTTAACACTGTAGAATTGTGAGAAATTTTTCATTCTTTCATCAACTCTGTAGAATTGTAGAATCAAGATATCTGCAGTCTGTAATCACTCTTTGTAGTTATATAGAAAGATTCAGATCTGTGATTCATAATCACTCTTATTTACTAGAGTGATCTGACTGTTTCACAGAATCACTCACAGTGTAAGTAAATCTCTCTAGAGTAGTATAAATATTCCAGATCTATCTGTGAAACTTCATCTTCTTTTCTCTTTTTCTGTAACAGCTCTCATTCTTATAAACTGTGAGTATTCTTATTCATCTGTGAAGTGTTTTCATTCAGATAATAGAGAGAGAGTGTTCCTGACAATGTCTATATATTGATTCAAGAACTTCTCAAGAATAAAAATTTTTTCAATTTCAATATCTTCACAAACAATGTCTGATCACTGCTGAGCTTCTCATGGGCATCCCTGTGACTTCTCTGGTCACTTTTTACCGGCTGATGAAGCAGGGGCACTGTCACTCATGACCATGCCTTCACTCTTCTCAGCCTCATCATCACACCCGATCTTCAGGCCAGCAGCTCACTTCATTCCTCTCTCAGATCAGTCTCTGACTTCAAGCAGCACAGTTCTCTTCTTTGCTGTAAGTCTTCTCATAAGTAATTTCTTATAGATTCTAGCTGACAGTTCTTACAAAGCTCTCAGTGTTGCCAGTGCCTCCTGCAGCTCTGCAGGCCTACAACCACTCTTTCTCTGTCTGCACAATCTCTGACCAGATATATGTGAATATGCCTAGGTTCTCTATCAATGATTCTCACACTGCAGCACATTTCTGCAATTCCATTGTCAATGAAAGATAAGTCCTCAGGTACTCACAAAATCTGGGTAATTAAGGTAATATGAATGTCATGAATTCACAACAGAAGTTGACCTGAACAGATGAGCTCTCTCTTCATATTCTCATTATTTTCAGGCTGAATACTCCAGCACAACTGAGAGAGTGAACACAGCTTTGTGAGAGATATCTGATCATATATGCAGATGATCAGTCTTCAAGATTCTACTGCAACTGCATGTGCTCTGATATTCAGCTTCTCTGAAGTCTGTGCATTTCTGATGATCTTTGTATCAAATGTAATAATTGTCTGTACTGTAGATATGATACTCTCTGCTTCTTTGAAGAGAGAAATTAATAGTTATAAGAAGATTGAGTATCACAGATATTGATAATATAAGTGTGAGTTTTCTTTATTTTTTCTTTGTTAATCTCTAAATTGTATTCATGACTCTGTTTATTTTCTTATTTTTTAGCTTTAATGAGAATATGTTTTCTTCTTCTCTTATGTACATTGCAGACTGTTCATCTCAGTAGAAACTCATTATCTTATAGACTAGAATTTGCAAATGACAGTGTTAATATCTTTATCACAATCAGATTCTTAGTGAAGACTGTGTTATTCTGACTTATCAGAATTCATAATATGAAAGTCATGTCTCAGCTTCTACAGATGTCTTATCTATCTGAATGATTCTCAAGTGAACTTATTCATCTTGTCAGAATACTCTTATCACTGAATCTTGAATCAGAGCTTGTGATCTTGCTTCTCTAAGTCAATAATTTCTTTGATCTGATATTCTCTTTCACTCTCTAGTGCTTCATAGACAGAGTGATGAATCATAGAGTTCTCTTCTGAGAATTTCTTATATTCACAGAGTAAAGAGACATGAAAAACATTGTACATCTGTAACTCAGATGACAGTTTCAATCTATAGAACTGTAAGCTAACTTTCTTTACAATCTTATAAGACTCTGTTCACAAGAGATTCAGCTTCTTACTAGATCTCTGTATAATGATGTTTTCTAGACTCAGTCAGACTCTATCATCTTTCTTGAAACTCTTTACAATGTGCTTGAAGTCATAGTATCTCTTCTGATACTCTTGAGTCTTTCTCAAGAATTCACAGACTTTCTCTCAGATCTTCTGAATTCTCTCAGCTTATTCACAGGCATCACCACACTCTATAATATACTCTCATGAGTTCATCAAGATCATCTGCAGATGAGTCTCAGTGAGCATCTCAAAGAGAGTTTTATCTGTGCTGACATGCTTTGAGTTGTTATATATGAACTCTGTAAGTGATAATCAATGCACTCAGTCATTCTGATTGTAATTAACAAAGTATTACAGATACTGTTTTAATATACTCATCAGACATTCTATCTGATCATCTGTCTGTTGATGAAAAGCTATGCTTAGATCTCATGAAATCTTCAGTATAGTTATCAGATCAGATCAGAACTCTTCTGTGAAGATTAATTCTCTGTCTGAGATAATGTTCACAGACAACTCATGCAACTGAATCACATTGTGAATGAAGATATGAGTCAAATTCTTTGACTTCAAGTCCTTGTGAGTGAGTATAAAGTGTGTCATCTTAGTGAAGTGATTCACTATCATCAGCACACTGTCAAAGCAGGCATTATATATATTCTTACTTTCAGAGAGATTTACAAGAATATTCATTTCTAGCTGTTCTCAAGGTTTCTGTGAGATGAATAGAGAAGTGAGTTCTTTATATAATCTGAACCACACTACCTGTGAATCCTGATAAATAGTATAAGAATTCACTATCTTCTTCACAAGTTCTCATATCTTCAGTCAGAAGTATTTTCTTGTGAGTAACTCATGAGTTCTAGTGTCTGTAAAATGATCTGCTAGAGAAGAGTTATGATACCTTTTAATAAGTTCTATATATAGAAACTCATTCACAGGTATATAAATCCAGTCCTCTCTTTGCAAGAGGTTATTTAAGTCTCTTCAATTCTTTATTTCTGCAGAGTTGATCTCTGCTGTGAGCAGTTTCTGAATATACTGAGCATATTCATTCTTCAGTTGCAGTTCAGACAATCTGAATAGAAGATCTTGTGAAGACTTATACTCTGTTTCTTCTTATATCAGGTCTTTCACAGCACTTCTCAAAGCCTGCAAACTCTTCAGATTATAGATACTCTCTTCAAGAATTCTCACAGAGATTCTCAGAGTGTTAACTCTCAGTGTTATAGAGAGTAGTTGTACAGGCTTCTTCCCTCTCTCTTCTCTCTTCTCTCATAGAGGATTGAGAGACTCTTCAGTTAATCTCTTTATAACACTCAGTCTGAGCATTTCATAAAGCTTTTCTGTCTTCTCTAGTCTCTCTGTATCTGTCATCCTGGCCTTCTTAACATAGTCTGGCCTGTAAGAGAGTCTGTTCACTGAGTTCTTAGTTCTCTTGATATATTCTATCTTGAATCAGAACTCACTCAGTCTCTGAGCTCAGTGAACCTGTCACTGTGAGAGTTTCTTGATTGAAGTAAACTGTCACAAGCTGTCATGATCAGTTCTAACAGTAATCACTGTCATGAGGTTCTTAAAGTAGTGATGTCAGTAATAGAAGAATTCCACTATCACAAGAAGCTTCTGATCATGAATGTCATAGTTGATCTTTACAGATTGCATCTTCTGTGAGAAAAAGGTCACTGAAACTCAGTTCTCATTTGACTGTAGTTGTAAGACTATTTCTGAAATCACAAAGAAGAAGATATCTGTCTTCAATCTGATTAAGAGTAAGAGATTAAAGTAGAACAGTATCACTGTGTCTGTGAATATCTATTTCAACCTTGTAAAGACTCTGTAAACTTCTGAAATAAGAAAGTTCTTACAGTTCTCTCTTCTCAATAACCTTTTCAT